ATATCCTGTTATATGCAGATGACACAACCACACTTGCTGAAAGCAAAGATAATGTAAACCACTTGCTGATAAAGATCAAGGTTTGTAAGGATTGCACATCTCAAGGTAAAGAAAATCTAAGTCCTCACAACTTGACTGATCAATAATGACATGGTACATAGGGGGAAAAAATGGACCTGTCAAGGATTTTATCTTGAATTCATAGTTAATGTTCATGGAAGCATCAGTCAAGAAATCTATGGATGCACTGCATTGAGATAATCTGTTGCACAAGACCTCTTTAAAGTGCTTAAGAGTAAGGACACATTTTGAAGACTAAGGCGCACCTGACCGGAACCATGGTATTTCCATTTGCCTTATTTGCATGTGAAAGGTGAATAGGAAAGACCACAGAAGAGTCAATGCATTTGAATTGTGGTGCTAGCAAAGAATATTTAAAATAGGAAGTAGTACAGCCAGAATGCTCTTAGAAACAAGGATGGGCAAACCTTCACCTCATGTACTTTAGACATGTTACTAAGAGCCCAAGTCCTGGAGGACAGTCCTTGGTAAAGTGGAAGGGAAGTGAAAAAGAGGAGGATCCTAGATAAGATGATTGACACATTTGCTAAGACACTGGTATCAAACATAACCATAGTTCTAAGGATGGAGTAGAGCTGGGCAGCGTGTCATTTTGTTGTACACAGGGTTGCACACAACCTCACAACTGTTTTGTTTGAACTCAGTGTTACAACCCATGTCAATACATCTTTTCAGGGGGTCTACTCAACCAAACATGATGTCCTTCTCCAGGATTAATCTCTTTTGATAATACATCTAGGTATAAAGACATGTGCCTTTCCCCCATCACCTCTGCCAGAACCTCAAATAAAAGGTCTACTTTGCCAAATAAGGATCCAAAAATATTCAGAAATATTTTCTTTCCCCAGAACAACTGTGTAGCCTATGCTGTCAAACAAAGGAAGGCAAGTTCCTTTTAGATTTTTGCCTAAAGAAAAAAATGTCTAGGAATATGATTTCAAAGCTTGAGCCCCCCACCTTCAAACAGCTGAATCTATTAGTGACAGAGTAAATGTAAAGTACACTGGAGTACTATTTAAGTTTGTCCTCTAAAAGCAAGAGCTGCAGCCGGACTGTCTAGTGAAAATGAATGTGAGTGGTTCTGCCTCCAACAATTTGTCCTGCAAGCACTGAATTTTCTTCTTAAAAGCGTCCACTGAGTTAAAACTATACATTCATTTCAGCCCTTTAGACAAGCATTTAGCATAATGAAAATGGCAAATCACTATGTACACCACACAGTTATATGGAAGTACAGGTCCCTAGAGGACAAAGAACAGTGATGAAAATGGTGGCATTTAATATTCTTCCTGAAATAAACATAAAGGAAGAAGTAAATAAAAACCCGAGGAATAGAAGCTTCAAACAAAAACAACCCAGTGTACATTATATGTTAATTGTTTAATATCCTTTCCATAAATACTTTTATTTTATTCAGCTTAAGATATTCTCTTTCTTTATGAATGAAGCTTTCTATTTTCCTCACTCCCAGGAAAGAGAGTATGAATTTATAGTGATGATTCCAGTGTTATAAAAGTATAAGACCATGCCTACACTTTAGGTTTTTTCATGCCAAAATATAAATAGAAAAGTAAAGGCATTTGCATTCTCTCTCTCTCTGGCTGGGGAGGTATTATTTGTAACCCAATTGCACCTGGAAAATTAAAATGTTTTTCTTCCACCTAGGAGTTTCATGGACTCAATATTTGGTCAAACCTGATGGCCACTTGGGAATCTGAAGCCACAGAGCAGTTCCAAATGAATTTTCTCTTTCAGTTTTTCTTTTTATGTTTGATCTAGAGTTGCTTTACGCACATCCTTTTCCTCTCCTTTGAGATGATACGTGGATATTATATGCAGAGATTAACATTTTCCTTCAGTCAATGCTCTGGTAAAAACTACTCAATGGTCTGATTTCTCCACTCTTTTTTTTTTCTCATTCAAAACATCCCCCAAGGGACTTTATACACTTCCCCATGGCACTTCTTTGATGTCAATACAAAAGAGATGGAGAAAATACTAAATTAAAGTGCTGACATTTTGTTGCACCATTCGACTGAGTCACAGTGGCTTTCTGGACACAAAGACTTGCACGTTTATTGAAACCACTTTTTAGTAGATAATCTCTTGATCGAGTTATGCTTTTGGATTTCAGAATTATAAGCATGTCATTTTTATCTGGGGTTGATTTAGAAAGCCCCCCCCCTATTTAACCATCAGTATATTTATATTAACATTGACACCCATCTTTGCCTCACATGGGCAACATGTGAGAGCCCATTCAAAGATATTCACATACTGGGTCCAAGATGATCCTCAAAGACTTTTAAATAAATGCCACTTGTTAGTCTGTTTCTTTGTGCCTTTGACCTTTCTTTGAGCATGTAGTTTTCCAAAATTGACTTATGAAAAATACATGTAAGTAGGTCTAACAAAGAATAAAGTCACAATTATGGCCTATCAGTAAGAGATCTTGAGCTTAAAATACTAGCTATTCTCGGCTTCATTCTATAAAGGACCCACGGCTGCATCAATTAGTTGTGCTATGAATGTAGTACAGTAACACAATAAAACATTCTTTGTGTTACTTTAAAAAATGAACTACCTCGTGTCTCTTTTTACTATCTGAAGGAGGGATTTAAAAAAATTTCTAACATCAGTTATCCATTTACTGATTGCTATTGGCTAGAAATTTTATATAGATCATTTCTCTTAATCTGCAGAGGATGCCAAAGAAGACATTATTTTTATCATCATTTTACAAAGAGAAAAGATGGTCATAAGAAGACTTTGTTACTTGTCCACATTATATACACAGCTACGGAATAACGAAACCAAGTAATCAACATGTGAAGATAAATCTGTCACACAGATGCTGGTTTGGATCATACTGAGCTGGGCCCCATTCTAATTTACTACTTCTGAATGGTAGGAGCAAGGGGCCTTAGGTATTTACTATGGTCAGAAGAGACTTAGCTCTCACACATCATATATGGATACTATATTTCAAATACATCGAGAGTCCCTAAAAGCCAAAATAGTTTAAAAATATTTCTAAGTGACAGTTTAGAAAGGTATGTGTGTATAGACATGAAAGGGAGAGGGTGGGGGAGAAGAAAAAAGGAAATGGTCTACTTTTCCCGGGAGTCAAGTCTAAAATAGATTCTATCATACTTCCTCCCTGACCCCAACGTTTGCCCCCACTTTCCTCCCTGTTATTAAGCTGCATTTAAAAAAATTAACTGTGCACAATTAGAGTATGCACAAGGCAGGTTATCTTCAGGCTGGCACTGCACAAACCTCTTATAAAAAAAGTAATACTGTCAACAACTGTATGAGCCATTTCTTATTATAAATCCCTTTCTATAACACTAACACACACACGTTGTACAGGTATTCCATCACATTATTTCATTGTCCCTGATTTTAGTCTATCATAATTACTTGGACATAAGTTATAGGTATACCCAATCTTTAAATATAACAGTACAGATACTAGAGTAGAATTGAACATTTATATTAGGAGGATCGAAATGTGAACTCTCACAAAAACTAAAAAGGAACACAAGATGTATAACTGATGATACTGGTTGCAGTATACAAAACACTCTTGATAACATTCAAATACCATATATACTAGAGTATAAGCCGACCTGAGTATCAGCCCTGGGCAGCTAATTTTACCCAAAACTGCCAACGAAACATGCTGAAAAACTCTGCTTCTATACGAGTATATACGACAAGTCACCTTTGACTAACAGCATCATGTTAGTCATGACTTACTTTGATTGCTACATTCACATCTCTGACTTGAACAGGAGTCAACTATTATCTACTACATCTACTCTAGTCGGCAGAGAAGGGATAGCATCGAGGAGTCTAAGTGTTCCGGAAGGGAAGGAGGAAAGGGTAAGTATCTGGTGACATGGCAGGAGTAACTGAAGAACATGGCAACAAGCAGACACAGGGAATATTGTATTTCTTGGATTTGTTTGAGACAACCTAGAAAATGATAAAAAGCAGTGAGAAACTTCATAAATGTACTTGTGAATTTCTGTTCTGATCAAGTCATAATGTGTTTCTTTGTTTTTGAATATGCCTATAATATTTTTAATCAGAATCCTTATTTTCATAAATGAGCTCTAATCTAGATCAGAATTTATCATTCAATACAGAACAATAATATATAGAATTGGATAATAAAAACTAGTGTAGATTAAGGACCTCTGCCCAGAGAAACATGGCAACTTATTCAACAACCAAGTTCAGTACTGTTCAGGGTAAGAAATACGGGGATTTTAGAGCGTTAAGCCAGGCCCCTCACAGGATTAGTGATAAGTAAGCCCTGCTGTGGCTTGTTTACAGCACAGTCTGGTGCTGTACATCACACCCTAGGGTGTAAGAAATGCCACCGCCACTGCAGCTTCCCGCCCTGCCTCCTCAACTTCCAGCAGAACCCACATCATGAAAAACTCAGATTTCAAATTTAGTACCAAAATATGAATATTTCCCTAAAAACTAGTTACTTCTGAACTCGGATCACAGACTGAAGAGATCATACAAGGACTGTGTAAACTGTATTTTGGGAAAATAAACCAATTCCTCCTAATAAGGAAAATGCCATAGAAGTTATTTTGATTAACTCCCTAAAGCCTAAAACATTGATTGACCTTTACTGGCAACCCTTGATTGGATGTTCTAGTGCAGACCCTCAGGAAAATTGCTATTGCTTCTATTCATACCACTTGATGAAGTCCTTAAACCAGTTAACAATAGTACTCATAATTCAAAACCTGCAATACACTAAAAAAACAAACAGTTAAGATAGATAGAGAAGCAACCCTACATAGTTACCTATTTTCTTAATAGTCTAGCACACTCTATCAGAGAAATTTATTAAATTAGCAAGGAAAGGAGTACTTGCAATGCTGTCTTTAAAGGCTATATGGGAGGGAATGATCAAGTCTTAGTCAGCTGTCCTAAGAAAAACAGAGCCCTCCACATTTCTGTAGGATCACTGCATTTTGAGGACAAAGGTATTTTTCATTTGCCCACATGGTTCCTACAGATTCCATTTTGGGGTGCTTTATTAAGAAGCTGTTTGTTATTCCATTTTTTCAATTCCAACTTCCTGACTGCATCAAAATCCCATTTAAATAGACTAATGCATTCAACTAAGCTAAAGAAACAAACAAAAAACCACAGGATTCAGATAATAGAAACAGAACCATTAAAAAGACACATGTAGCTATCTTTAGTCAGAGAGAAAAGGCTGTAAAGCACATGCACAAGGGAGA